ATACGCAAGGGGTTATGAGCAGCCTTGTGACTGCTTTGCAGATGTCCTGCCCTGGCTGGAGTCCTCCATATTTCTAGGAGCCAGACACAGTAGTAGGTAAAATGGAAAACTGTAGCCTAGGATGGTATTATATCAGGCCAACTGAAATAATTACATCCTCCTGGTCCCATAATAGGACTCTAATTGAAGAACTGCCTGAGTAAAGTCAGCGAGAATGGGACCCTATTGTTCTGTGAGTGAGTTGAAAGACATCTATTTTTTCCTTTACAGGAAATTTTTGAGGGGAGGGGGAAGAGCAAGAATGTTCTTTACACTTTCTTCAATATCTTTTTTATTTGTGGTTTTGTTTTCTGCAACTGCCTTTGTTGAAAAAAAAATCATTCTTATAAAAAATTATTTTTAATTTTTCAAACAAGAACCCTTTTATTAAAAGACAATTCTCCCTTTTTCTTTTTCTTTTTTTTTAAAAAAGTACTTTAACTCAAAAAATATCTTTTCAGTTTATTGGGTTTTATTGAAAAAACAGAAAATTTCAACCAATTTTCATTTTAGATGAAAAGCTCTTTCTCATTTGGAAAAAATGTTCTGATGGGAAAAATTCAAGCAACTCCAGTTCCAATCTTTCTCTGCGAGCTGTATGTGGGCGGATTCCCCGGGCCACGTGGAGCTCATTACAAGATCAGACACTCTGTTTGTAACTTAATTAAGTGACTGAATATGTTATTCAGACAAGTGCATTGTCAGAAGTGAGCTTAAGTTGGTAACATGATTTCCTTAGCCATAGTGCTCTAGGACTGTAAGGCAAATGCCAGGAGATGCCGGTTTGCGTTACTTGAGCAGGCCGAGCTGCAGATGTCAAATTATTTGGTGCTCGTTTGGCTCCCTTTGGGAGTCCAGGTTAGGTGCAGTGAAGACACACGGAGTGTATAAATCTGGTGTTTAGGCACAGTGCCACTTAATGCCTTAAACACRTTGAGGTTGTCCTCAGGAACACATTGTATGCGATGTCCGTGATGTTCGGGGAGAGCTGTATTTACTTTGGAAGGATGATGAGCTTTTGTCAAAAATACTTATTGTTGCTGTGAGCCTGAAATACCTTTGCAAGTGGAAAATAGAGATGTCTCCATGAAGTCTATTATGATAAACCCTGGGCAGTTGCCCCAGTGGCCTGAGAGCACATCCTCAGGAAGCCTTGATGTCTTATCTCCTGGAGAGCATGGGAGAGACGTTTATAAAAACAGAAAAAAAAAAAAGAACAGAAATGGTGCCATTTTGGTTTTATTGCAAATGTCCCAGCCAGGGAGACCTTTGCTGTGAGCGCTGCCTGCAGAGGGCTGCACGGTGGCCCTGTTCTCAGTAGGGTGACGTCCCAGCCCCTCTCTCTGCATCCTCCATCCAGCAGCGAGGCATCGCTCTGCAATGTGCTTGGCCAGGGGCTGCTGCAGTGACAGCATCGCTCCCTAAAGCTGCTCCCTTGGCYGGGGCCAGGTTGGGGCCGGGAGTCGCGCGCGCTCCTCCCTGTCCTAAAAATGCCGCTCTGCTCRCAGCCAGCCTGGGAAGGAGCCCCGCGCATGGTGGGGGGAGAGGGCTGATTTTGGGGGGTAGGGATGTGGTCCAGAATGCGCCCCTCAAAGGCAGAGGAAGTGCCCTCCTGAAGAGGGAATAAATAGCTCTAAATATTAGCTATAAATAACTCCTTACCTCCAAAAATAAAATCCCTTAGTGATACCAAAATAAGAAAGCAAAGGAAAGTCGGAGGTATTTGGCCTTCCTTTGAAAAGGAAGCTAAAAATAACTATATATATATAAAAATCTCTCGTTTCTAGGGAAAGTCTCTGCCCCCGCATCCAGCTTGTACAGTTATATAAGACTTGAACTATATCCCCCTTCTCCTCCATGGCCACTCACAAAGCTCTGGGAGCAGCAGCCAGATGGAGAAAGGTTCCATCAGGAAAGTTTAACTCAGCCGTGAAGCTGCAGCCAATGGAGGACACGATTCTCTCGCTGAACTCTCCAAAAGCCTTGGAAATCTTACAGTTGTGTCATATGCTGGTTTGGGGAATGCTAGCAGTGCCGAGGCCGCCGCCAGCCCTCTCTCTCTTTTTTTTTTTTTTTTCTTCCTCACTTTGCACTGAGTTTAATTTGGGTAGCAGGATTCAGCATTTTTAAGTTGGAAAAAACTTGGTGGAAGAAGATATTTTAGGAAAACCCTGTCATGTGAACTAGCAGGAGCCGATCAAACTGAGCTATTAAAAGAAAGACATTGTATTTTTAACTGGTGCAGCCTAGGGAAGCCAACCTGTGTGCCATAACCACCGAGCTCCCCCGATTATAGCTCGGCGTGGGAGGAGGTGAAGCTTTCCGTCGGGGTAGCCCATTCTCCGCTCGCTCTGGGATACCCTTTGGCAGCACGTGGCACTCACAGCCCTTCCCAGCTGCTCTCATCTCCCTGCTCCTGCACCCAGCTCGCCCCTTCCTTAATTATTTACCCTCAGCTCTGCTTTAATGTTAACTCTTGCTCCTGCCTCTCTGCTGCTTTCTCAGTGTGGTTATTGCAGGTGATGCTGGGGGGGTGAGTTGGTGTCATGGTCAGGGGTTGGGAGGCATGGAGGGAGCTCCGGCAAAAGTTCTGCATTTCTGTCTGAGCAAACAGTTATCTATGGTTCCCCTTAATATTTTGCAATAGGATCAAGTTGCTCCAGCTTCACTTTAAAGCAGCAGTGGATGCAAGTAGTGGGTCTGGTCTTGAGCTTGCTAGAAGAGTGAAAATACGTGTTTTGCTTCGATAGGGAGGAGCCCTAGTGTTTATCGAGTGGCACAGAGGCTCGCAGACAGTGACAGGGCCCGAGGCTTGTAGAGGAGCAGCACCAGGGCTGGTGCAGGTGGTCCCTGCTGGTGATCATTGTGGTGGTCCCTTGTGATCATTGTGGCTTCAGAGTGGTCAGTTCGGAGGACTGTTAATACACGGAGTTCCTAGGTTTGCGCATAGGGTTTTTTTGCCTTTTTGAGCCCACTGCAATAAATCTCTGGTGCTCAGGGGATGCTTCTGCAGAGCCTGGCATGGAATAACTGAGAGAAAACTACTGCAAAGGGGCCACCAGCAAAGTTTGCTAACAACCTTGGTTACTGAAGAGCAAAACGCATCACAGGTCCCTAATGGTACAGGGTTTTTTGTGGGGAGGGAAAGAAGAGGCTTCCAGACAGCGTATTCTTTGGGAGTTTATAAATCCCCAGCTAGCTCTTGTCCCAGATGGGAGTTGTGATTAACTCAGGTGTGGTGCCGGGGTGGCCGTGAGCTGGGCTCCATCAGGGAGCCTCCGTTGGTGCTGCAGCATCTTTGTTAGATGTTCTTAGACCCCCGTGGCCGTGGGCCATCCCTGAGGATGGGCTCCCTCTCGCTGCGAGGGTCACTGTGAGTGTGTTACATAACAGGCCTGTGGAGCTGCGGAAGGTATTTCCGCCTCAGCACGTCCAAAAAAGAGCCGGGCTAGGAAAGTGAGGTGCACTGACTTTCCCTGGCCGGCCCACAGTTGCTAGCCTGCAAGACAACAAACTCGAGAAGCAGAAAGTTTGATTGTGATACCTCCTTCGAGTCGATTTTGGGACTCAGAGAGTGAAAAATGGAAATGTCGTGCGGGTGCCAGCCAGCCCTCCATGCAGCTCCGGGCCAAGTCCATCTGCAAAGTGACTCACTCCCGTTTGCTATCCGAGACGCTGACCCCGACGGCCATCCCTATTGAAAATGTACATGCCGAAGACTGGTCGGATTATACGCAAACGCCGAGCATCTGCAGAGCTGTCAAGGTCCCAGATGAAGCATTTTATATATCTGAACTCTTGATCTCTTCTGGAAAAAATATATGCAAGTCCAGTTGCACGCAGCCACTGTATCCAGGAAAGATCGGAGGCAGATGCTTGTTAACATTAACAGGGAAAACTATACATTGTAAGRCAGCACACACTTCACAATATCTTTGACTTTATTTTCCTGTTTTCTTTTGCTTTATTTTCCTGTTTATACATAGTACGTGTAAACACAGGAGGGTTGTCTTGGTTTCGGAGGCTTCCTTGGCTATTTCATTCTTGCTGAGCTCCACGTGTATCAGTGGAAAGCCATGGGGTTGCTCCTCTCACTTTCTAAATGCCCTAAAAATAGCAACAACCAGAGGTCTGTGAAATGCCACTAAACAAATAAACCGATTTTTTTTTTTCATCTTCTGGGTAAAGAATTGAACCAGTGGTAATTAGAAGCCAAAGCCAGTGCCAGTAACAAGATGGGTATTAATAGGGTGCTGGCAAATAGAAAGACATAAATACAAGCTTGGGACTTGAGTTTTCTGAATGATTTATTCAAAGGTAAAAGCAGCAGCAGCCTGAGCTTGTCTCTGCTGGGAAGAAGGAAAACTTCTGCACAGAAGCCCTGTTGCTTTGAAAAGTTTAGCAGTGCCTGCAAGTTTTGTTTAAAGAGCACACTCTGGGATTTTTAACATCATCCATATTTCTTTCTTTCTCGCTCTCTAACTTTCTGCTCAACAATTAAGTGCTTGTGCTGCAGACTGAGAAAGCCGCAGAGCTGCCTTGGCCCGGAGCTGGGAGACGTCATGGATTCCTGAATGTGAAGTTTGCAGGAAAGCCCTCAGTTTGGGAGATGGAGGCGATCCAAGGGTTTCCATGGCACTGGGATAAACAGGAGGAAACAGTGAGGGAATCCCGTTATTTTACAGCATTCAAAGACTATAAACACTCGGAGCAGGGAAGGAAGTGGCCTTTCCCTCTCTAGTAACCCTCATCTCAGAGCAGAGAACTGACTTCACTTCAGGAACAAGCTCAGCCCAGTTCGGATCCCTCTTTGCACCTCCAAACGCTTACGGAGGAGGCGAGCAAGAGGGGTTCCCTCTGTCTGGGCAGCATTGGTTGAACATGGTTTAAACAAGTTTTTTTTTTATTTTTTTTAATTTTTTTTCTACTATTGATTTTTTTTTTTTTTTTTTTAATTCCCGATGCAGAGAGAAACTGCCTGTAGGCTGGTACCCTACCACCACATCATGAGGTCTATGGATCAAGGTAGGATCTTACAGCTCCTTGCTGGGTGCGGTGTGGGGGGTGTGTGTGTGTCCCTGCGCGCGGCCCCTGTGCCGGGGGGCTCTGCGCCCCTCACTCTCCTGCCCAAGGACTTGATCCAGCTCCACGGGGTGGGCAGGAAGAGTTCATGGCACGAAGGTCCCTTGGGGAAGGGATTGAGTGGGGTTCAGGTTGAGGTTGGAGCACTCCGCGGAGACGATATAACTCGGTCTGGTGAAACCTCCTTTAACCTCCAGCCAGCGGGACTCTCCTCTTCCCGCATCACTGGGGGATCCCGCTTGCTGCCCCCCCCGGCCGCTTAACCCTTCTGCTCCTTGTCCCGCTCGGCGGCTCAGCCGTTACAGGCTCCTTGCGCGGGCTCCGCGGAGCTGCGGCCGGGCCGGCGGTCCCGCTGCCCTCGGGACGAGCCCGGTTCCGTCGGGGCAGGCCCGGTGGCCCCGCGGCCAGCCCGGTTCCGGCGGCCGCTCGTCC